ACCTTTTTCACCTTTTGATGCATACTTAACATGTATGATGCAGCAGCGTGATGATAAAAATAGATTTGTGTCTGCGTATTCTCTTTTACTATGGTACAGGACCCGGTATGCATCTCTACATCATACATTTTTTCTTAAATACATTTAGCCCACACGAAGGACCCGACTTCATTCAGATTATTGGTCTCACCATTTTAAATTTGTATTATATTATCAAATTGGCAACGAATTCACCTTCTAAACTTGCAAAATCCGTCGGGGCGACAAAATGGCGTGATATAAATTTTAAAGCTCCAAAGAACCAGCAGTAGAGAATCAGGATTGTTCAAAATTTTATAGAGCTTCGTTACATGAATAAAGATCAGGACGGCCACACAACTAAATGCATAGAGACGGAGAATTTACTGCTTCCAAAGGGTGTCAGCGTAAAAAAAAGGCTGCTCTGCTAATTTCCCGCAAATCGAGTTTTTTCTTGGTTCACAGAATTCACGTTTAAAGACAGAATTTTCATCATCTGCTCATCATCCAACTTTTCACTATTTAGCTAGGCTACCAACCCTGGTGTTACAGTATCCTCTATAAGCCTTAATGCTCCGCGCCCGAAAAAATATAGGTGCAAGACTGCCATCTAAATTTAAGTTAAGAAATTAATTAAAATCTCAAAAAGTAAACTAATCGAGTAGATAAGTGACAATTGACCAGCTGAGGATATTGGCAGCATAAAGATAGCACCTATCCGGATCACATGTCCACCAGGCATCAGCAGCTGAAGGTCATACCAGTGGTAGTCAGCAAAGCTGAACGCTAAAACGCAATGCCGTACCCTTGTAAAACATGTTTTCATTTCTTGAGATCGATGATAATAGTAAGCTTCAAAGCCAGTAAGGTTTTCTTTATGTGTAATGAGCCTATCAAGTAAACTCCAAGTATTGTAATGTAGCAATAGCCGAAAATCGATAATCGTGAGAGCTGCATCTCAGATATTTGTTATATGAACTGTAGATTGTGCAACCGTTCAATATTATTCTATCATGTCTTTCATCCTAAATTTAAATCCGTCAGCTTTACAAAATGGTAAGATGTATTTCGCGTAAGAGAATCCAAATTGGCAAAACCAAGTGCGTGAGCATTAAATTCAGTATCCGACACGGCAAATTAACGATCACGTTTAATGGGGTTAATAATGCAGAAGAAATGATTTAACAAAATCCACCGCGGCTAATTAAGGAGTCTTGAACTCACTAAAATTGGCTGAGACTCGGCATCAGACCATGTAAAAGTGCGATGCAAAATGTAAACTTCCAGTGGATCATTGTCTGTGTCCTGAACAAAGATGTGATGTGGCGCTTCACCTTCGTAATTAGCATTGATAGGAAAAGAACTTAGTTATCTTTTACAGTATCACCATCTTCAACTATTACTTCAGCAATTTCTAATGAAACACCTTTTTCTTTTGCAAACTGCAATTCTGCTGAATGAAGGTAATATTCGTCGTCACAATTCCGGGTGGTGTAGTACCAATGATTTTAACTTTTGAACTCGTGATCGATTTACCTTGCATTCGACGGTTATCTTGGTCGTTACTTCGCACAATAATAATAAAGGATGTCTCGTCAGATAAACAGAATAATCATGATGAAAAGCAGCAAATTTTTGTCGAAAGTTGGCAACATGTTAGGATGGATCTTTAGACTAGTCTGAGCGTAAAAACCGATATCACAGGAATCGGGCGATTAAAGCATTGATCTCACCGTTTTCAGCTTTTTCAAAAAAAAATTATGTGAAAAGGTTTAAAAAATAATAACGCTTCGTGTCGTATTTCACTTCCACGATTTTATTTTAGCAGAACCTATAAAAATATCAAAGATGTGAAATAAAAAAAATTGTGACCAACACAAACCGCAGAATAGCGAAACACTCTTGCAGTGTCTGCAATAGCTACATCGAACCGGTCCAAAATATTGAGCTTGAAACTATATCAGTAACTGGTTTAGTTTCATCTTTTCTTTAAAGAGTTTTTAGCCTCCCTGTACATATTAAGATTAAAGTGGTTTCTAATCGTTCAACTCTGTAGCACAAAGAGCAGCACAAGCTCTGGAGTTGGAGACGAGTAAGGCATTAGCACATGTGGATATAATGGATACATTATGGATAAAATAAACCATGGATGTGCCTCGCATATCTCGATCACGCCTCGCCTGAGCTTACACGTTTGTTTCAAAACCGAGGCGTGCAGAGGTCGCTGAACGCAACACGTTATAAAGTTTGATAAGAATCAATTTTACGTTCAAATACATTTAGCATTTAGGAAACTTGACTTTTACAAGCATTTGTAGCTTGAGACACACCTTCTGATTCATTCTAACGATGAGCAGCGGTTTTTTACAGATAGCAGATATAGTAATGTAATAAGTAAAAATACAACCAAACACATCAAGCACATATAACCCTTGACCTTTTTCGAGCATGTCTAGCCAGAGAATCAACTCTGCTTCAATGTGACGGTTTGCAATGGCTGCTTGATAATGTCTTTGAAATGGTACAAATTTCGACATTGATAAAGAAGTGTAGCATATTATCATTAGAAAGTATGAGTATTAATTACCACATGTTTGGATTGTCGTAATAAATTCGAACTTGACTTTAAGATCATCTTTTTGCTGCACACCTGGCTCTCATAGCTACATTTTTTAATGAATAAACTGAGATGCATTTCGGAAATTCTTTTTTTGTAACCCTAAAAATTTACAGGTACACGTAAACCCTTTATTAACAAACTCCCGACACAAATGAATTTACAAAGATTCATTCACAAAAACGATGATGACATCGTAAGAATTTATTATATGTAGACAATCGGTGCAAATGCAATTATAGGGTACGCATGAAAGTAAGGCATTTTAGGAGCCAGAGTCAAATTCCTGCTGCTGCCTGTTCTCAAAGAGTAGTATTAGCAGCACCACTCACTACAGATGCACTTTTGGCGCGTAAATTTGGGCACGCCGCCTATTTTAACGTCGACGCATACTCCTCGACGACTCTGTAGACTCCTGTGTCTTTACGGAAGAATCCTTCTAACCCTCCCTCATTCTAAAACAATGGGTCCCCTGCAAGTTGCACCATCATTAGAGTAGATGTGTTGGTCAAGATGATATATCCGTTGTGTCAGATATGCAGTAAATTTTTCGGTCCTGTAGAGCTGTTTTAATTTAATTAATTATTCTTTTTTTTGGAATCGTACGGCATTGTAGCTGATCGCCTTAATGCGTTAGTCGAACGTACTTCGCTGTCAGTGCGGGCACAATTAGTGAACTTTCGAAAAATGTGACGTTTATCATACAAATTGACTTATGGTGGACACAGGCCAAATTGCATTTGATACGTGAATGTAGACATAGCCGCTAAAAATTTTAGACACGTGTACCAGTTAAAACAATCGTTCGGTATCTTACATTGCGCACGTTTACTATTATCTTCACCCTTCGGGCTCACAATGACGTAAAAAGCGTAGTATCAAGTACGGCTGCGTGCCCACCGCATCAACTTCCAAATCTGTGCAGTAAGAAAATTTGTGCTTTACTGCATTTTTTCGGAAAGGTAACGATAGGTGGCGCTAATTTGTAAATAAACAAATTAGTTTACGCTGAAAGGTAGAGTCTTCTACCTATACGCTGGTTGGTCTACTGCACACGTCGCATTTGCACACAGATGGGTCGATCATAGACAAATTTTCTTTGCTAAGGTGTAAAGTATGATTCTAGCCTAAAGAACTTGGTTTAGGTTTTGAAGTGATCAATTATCCTCTAGAGACAAACACCGTGCACTTAACAAATGCTCTAGCTATATGGATTCTCTGCTCATTCGTTTTATTTTTTAGTGTGGAACATGAGAGGATGTCGATGCGATGTAGTACATGGGTGAGGTGGGTGTAGACTGACCAAAAGTAAGCGCAAAAATGATGCTTGTGTTGATGACGATGAGAGTTGCAACCATTACGCATAACTACAATGCGTCATGGTTTGCAATGATGGTAAAATGATATTTTTATCATAAGACATGAGGAATTTGTGACGTGGAAGCGCTAGTGTTTATTTACGAAGAAACTCAAAAATAAAGAGCTGAAATTAAATTACATGAACACGATATATGAACCCTTTGCAAATGGTATCGGGTAGCGCTTATTATTTAGTGGCGATTTCAAGCTTTTTTGACGAGAAATCACGGACAGAGCTGTCCACACTTCAAATTTTCGAGGATCTAACTAATTTCGCACGCATTTTTTAATGCGTCCACAACATAGCACAAATCACAACAAAATGACTCCTTATTTACGTATCGTGCGAGCCGCTGTGGCATCAGAAACTTAAAAAAAATTTAAACCGGATTATTCATAGATTAAGATTTGCAGCTTCTTCATAAAGTTCATTGTATATTTCTTAAAATTCTCGTTAGTACTCTTATTGAACCTCTGGCTGGACCTTTACTTTTGTCGAATTAACTTCAAAACGTACTCTATCATTTCAACGAATTGTTAATCGTATTATCTTATTGGTACTGGAAGCGTGCTTGGTCACTTCTAACATAGGACCTTTAATCATCTGGACACGAACTCGATTTAGCGATCTCTTTTAGGTATTTCAGATCGTGCCATCCCGGCTGCATTGCACAAAAGACCCCAACAGCAAATGACAGATTATAACGATTATATACTGTATCTCGTGCTCCTATAGGGAAGCGTTATTGGAAGATACCGAAGGTATGTGTTTTTATTTAAATTTAGAATTTTAAGCGGTATTATACACAAAAAAACTTTTTGGGAAACGCTAAATTCACACCTCTTTCGCTTCGATTCACACTCTTTCTTCAAAATCTTATTCATATAAAGTACGCATTCGCCGTTGGACAAATACGAGTACTTTCTCTGCCACTTGGCTACGGGCGACATCTTGCGCGCTGCTGTAGCTGCTGACACCGACATAGGTAAAAAGGTCAAAGCCGCGATGGAGTCGGGCGCACTTGTGACCGACGAGATTATCGTCGGTATCATTAAGGACGCCATCAAGAGCTCGGAATGCCGTTGTGGCTTTACTCTTGACGACTTTACACGAACGGTTATGCAGGCCAAAAAATGTGAGAACAAGAGGAGAATCAGACGGGTGTCCAGGTTGCAACGCAGCAGCTGACCGTAGTTCCCTCTTTTTGTATGTGTTGCCGTGCAGCTCGACGAGATGTAGACGAAGGGAAAAACCTCGGTGGATGCTGTGGTGATTATTAACGTGCCGGACAAAGTGCTGGTTGATCATATTGCAGGTCAACGCGTGCACTTGGCTAGTGGCCGCAGTAAGCATGTCAAGTTTGCTCCGCCGAATGTGGACGGTAAGGACGACATTACGGGCGAAACATTGATTCAGCGCAATGACGACAATGAAGCCACGCTTGGCTCGCTTCTGGAGGATTTTTACAAGCAGTCGCAGCCCGTGATTGACCTTTACCGTTAGCAGGGCAAACTGGTGGAAGTGAATGCTCACACGGAAATGCATAAGGTGACGTAGCAGATCCGTAAGAGCCTCGGATCGGATTAGAGTACAGCACGCTTTCATTCGTCCACCCCCTGTTTTTTTACAGACATAATAGCATGCTTCACGGACAGCCTGTCAGTTTGCTACCCTCAACCTAGAGAATTTAAGGTAGACACGCTTTCCTACGATCGAGCTAATAATCGTAACAGTATAGCCTTGGCCACGTGCGAACGTCTGCACAGTATCCATAAGTTTCTCCCGACTAGCATACCCAACCTCGGGAGGAGAAAGCATGTTATTGCGTGGAGCCCTATCAGAAAATGCTGGAGGAGCTAGAACACAGGCGTTAGTAGTATATTAGGTATTTCTTAAGTATTACTTGCCAATTGATGGCCTGAATTATTGAGCAATACCTTTGTTTGAAGACAAATCTTAAAATTAAATCGGGATTAATATGTAAGATTTTGAAGGAAGGGTGTGAATCTAATGAAAAGGGGTGTGAATTCAGCAATTTCCTATTTTTTTCGCACCGACGTGTATACAACTACCACTTTTCCGTACCATTTTTTTTCGATTGTGACTGCGTAATATTTAATTTAATTGATTGAAATGGATGCAAAATCAACCGTACCTAGATGATCAATAGCTCAAGTCTGTCACTGCTTTGAATATGTAGTCTAATTTGGTAAAAACTCTCAAAATTGCGTCACAAGCATTGTTTTAAAACGGAATTACACGAACGGTTGTGATAACGAAGTCATTGGTGCGATACAAACGTGAGAAATCATTTCCACTGACAAGACGTACTAATGTATCACATACGCTTAGTAATAATACCGCACCCTTTCGTTTATAGTTTAATGGCATCTATCGTAATAGGGTCTTCAAAGAGGAAATGTAGTTCTGGTGTGGTACACCAGAAAACGTATCTTGTAGTGTATTCAATAAGGTAGAGTAATTTTAGTTTATAGACGTAAGATATGGTCACCATCGATGTGACTCAGTCAATGTATTGTGCCTTATCAGTCAGTCTAAACACGTGTATTATTTATTTCTAATCGTAAGATTAAAGTGCCTGATGTACGGCTGAACACTCTTAGGCTAAATGGCCACGTTAGTAACTGGAGTCGAAATCCCTTCAGCCAGGCCTAGTAGCCTAAAGAGCTTGTTGAATAACTTGTAGATAAGTCGTAGCAAGTCTGTAAGCCTTCAAGCATCCTATGTATATTTTCATTTGGTTTTCACTCTAAGTTATAATATCCAGGACTCTAGAAGTTTACCTCTTAGTAAGATGTTAGGGTAGGTCTGCTACACTTGTTGCAAATTGTATTAAATGTAAACCTGAAATTTTATACACTGTTCCTCTGTAAGATAGAAACCGAGACAATCCTCTTTAAATCCTAAGAATTAGCGCTGGAGAACTCCGAGCCTTAGTCAGAAACTAAAAAGTGACTTTTGGTCCTCGCACAAGGTCCTTACGTAATCCGTGCACTTCTTAGAAAATTTGTGCGGTTTGATTTCACTTCGGTAGGACAAAAAAAAGCCCATTTGCCATCGACTATGCCTACTCGGTATGTTCACATACGCGATGAAGAGCCAAGAGCCCGCTCCCTTGTCTTCACTGTAAAGCCATTAAAAGAAAAGGAAATGGAGAATTGCCTCCAATGGTTAAGATAGGTGACAATAGCAATTAATTTAGCTATGCTTAGATTGATGCAACAGACAGCTAAAATGGATATACCTAATTAGGTGGTCGAGCCAGAGAAAGGGCTCTCATATGTAGATCGTCTGTAAGGAGGATTTTTTAGGGGAATTGCTAAATTTACACCCCTTTTCCTTAGATTCACACCGTTCCTTCAAAATCTTATATAAAATCCCAATTCATTTTAAGATTTGTTTTCTGACAAAATTATTACTCGATAAATCGAATGTGAATAAATTGTCAAAGGGGTCAATGAGGTGACGACGTTGGGTGCTTACAATGTAACGTCGAGTCACAGGAGTCACGGTAAGTCCCTGTGTTGCTAACGGTATGTATCAAATCCTAGAAGTCACGGGAAGTCCCCGAGGTGCCTACGGTATGAGACTCCGAACACAGGTCGCTAGTGAACTCGCACGGAAATTTATGCTTTCAATACGTACATGTCATTGAACTGGTCGCGTGGCTCGCCATGATGTTTTGTGGCTGATGAATGTACTGTGGTATATTGAATTCGTGACACAAGTCTCTCAGTTTTTCATTTTGGTGAAACTGCTTAAGCTCGATTGATCCTGCACGTCTAGATACTGAACTCAATGCAAGTGTGATGCCACGTGATGAAATGGAAACCGTGGCAGAGTAGTAGATTGTAAGCGACGCGGAAATCCAGCGGCGACAAGTCCGTCGTGCGAAAACACTGTCGGTGGTCTACTTACATGTAGGCAGTACAAACTCCGGATTCCACGTTGTATTAGCTCGCACCCGATCAACAAAATCCGCTGCCTCAGTTTCGACAAGGCACATACATCCTCGAACGCTTTGCTTAGCTTGCTGGACAACATGCCAAGATACACTAGACGTCATCATCCACGAGCTTTGTAGAATTGCTCCCAAAGTAAGCTAGCAAGATAAAGTGTCGTATCAGCAAATCTACTCGAGTCTGCATCTATCGCAAGTTAGATCTTTCGCTCTGTAATAACAGCCACGCCTCTGGACGCCGTCTTGTCCCCGGGCACAACACGAGGTCACCATTAAGTAGACAGCACAAACTACTCGATAGCTGAACAACACTGCTATCTCAAGCCAGATTCACAAGCCCTTTATTACGCAGATCCCTTCGCAAACTATACTAGTATCCATTGACGCACTCAAATTCGTGACAGCTCTAGTCAATGTCATGAGTGCAATGTGTCGAAAGTCAACCGAGTGCACCAGAGGCACTCTCTTGCTAACCTTGTGTCAATCGTCTTTTAGCAAAATAAATTACAGCACCTTCTTCTAGACCTACGATGCAACGACTTTCCAGTGGAACTCTATTCGAACGAGAAACTCCTTGTGTGCACTCAAGATAGTATACCAGTTTGTCGTTATGAACCGTTTTTTCTAAGCACGCAGTTATCTCTCGCTACCCTGGCTGCTATCTACCCCCCCCTCAAGCTTTCTTCGTACTAGACTTCTTTGCATTCGATGTTGTTGCCACGGCTTGTTTTGTTGGAGACATGCCTGGAATCAGTCGAGGTACCGGAGGGAGTACTGATGACGCAGATGCGGGCTGTTTCCAATTTTTTCCGCCAGGAACTTTTTTCCCGGTGACGTTGCTACTCTTGCATCTTGGGGCACTGACGCTCGTCGCCTTGATAAATGGGGAGCTTGAAAGTGAGGGTGGCACTACAACCGGTTCAGGTGGCTGTTTATTTGTTCGGATATAGAGCAACAAGTAAGCAGTCTCACTGAGCCCGCAGCCTCCGAGATCGATATTACATGCTCACCATCGTAACGAAACCACTGGTCTTTGTTGTCGCGGCAAACGCAAGTGTAGTGACCTCCCACCACGTGCTTGCCCAGGTGCGACACGACTGCAAACAACTCGTACACAGGGAGAGGAGTCAAAGGGCCAGAACCATTGACAGGCGCAGCACCTGACGAGTCCAATCATTCCTTGCACGACAAGCAGCTGACAGTAGCTGTGTTGGAAACTCCAGAAAATGCGCGTACTTTACAAACTGCTGTAACTTGACCGGTCCCTGTTCCGGATGGTATATTAAACGCTACACGCTCAGCGTCAACACAACGAATAGGGAATCCACTGTCGTTTTCTTCTTCATCATAGGGACCTGGTCGGCGTCTTCGATCACCTCGACGTCGAATGAATTACGGATCATCCCCTCAACAGTAGTTGACGCGTCGGATGAATTAACTGTGCCATTCTCGCCTGCATGGTGTGTTTTGTAATCGAGGTTCAAGTGCAAGCAGTGAAACGGTTCCACAGTAATCGAACTTTGTCTCTTCCCGATCTGCTTCAGCTCGGAGCGTAGTGCACCCTTAAACATCCAATTATCGGCGAGCGGACAGTGTCAACGGGATTCTGACGTCGCACGCTTCTCTTGCCTTTCTTACCAACCTCTCTCCAGCCGTCATCGAACGCTTGAGCACTCTTAGCTTCCGCGTCCAAACTAGCTTCATTCTGCTCAGTCACAGGAGCCCGCTTTGTCTGCTTTTCACACGAGGCAGGCAAACGTAGACCACTCTTTTCGTACTCTGCGTGCAAATACTCCAAGAAAAACTCCAAAAACTCCAGTGCATCTTCCTGCTCTCCGCGCGTCTTTTGGAACGCACTCGATACGTCCATGAAGTACCCGCTGATACAAATCGCCTGTGGTGCTTTGCCATGCATATCGTTGGCCTTTCGGTCACCGTGACTGACTTGAGCCTGCACTGTTTCATCGAACCAATTTCAAACGACACACTATCATTTGGCACTGCCTACAACGCTTACGCCATCCACACCTACAAAAAATCGATGCCCGACGTACATTGAGCCAGTGTCGGCTCTTCAAACCGCGCGTAAACGCCACCATGTGTCGCCACGCCTTGAACATGTACTCGCCTACATTGATGTTGTTGGTGGACAAGCAGTTGAAATCTCGACGAACAAACTGCACACAGTGAGCACACCAAAGGGAACACTAGTAACAGCCCAGCACAATAAACTCACTTCAAAAACGGCGGACAAGCCAGCACAGACTGCATGATAACATTCTGAAAGCACGTGTTGCCTTGACTCACCAACCCCCTGCAGTAATTCAATATCCACAACCACCACAACGTCAGCACCTTCTCCTTTCTCACTCTCTTCCTCGTAGTTTACTTCTTTCTACCTCTTTTTCATCTCTTTAGCTGGTGTTGACACGTCCAAACTACTAAGTGCCTCCTGAATCACGTCCTCAATATAACCGGCTTTGTTGGATCCCTCACTATCTTTGCAGCTGCTGGTGATGGAAACGCAGCAGCTACAATAGGCCACGACGTCGCCTGTCCACTTCCTTCCAGTAACGGCTGAGTTTGTCAATGCCCACCGCTTCAGCCCACGGCTTGGAAGCCACTTTTTTCGTAACTTTTTCAACAGCCTGCAAAGTCTTTTCCACTGCATCAACATAATAGAAAAGAGACATAATTAGGTAGAGACATGTAATTAGATAAAAGATGTATCAGATAGATCGATAAATAGACATAAATGAATAAATAGATAGAAATGCCTAAGGTGACGGAGCAAATCCGTAAGAGCCTCGGCTCGGATTAGAGTACAGCACGCTTTGATTCGTCCCCCCCTGACTGCTTACAGATATCAGAGTAGGCTTCACGGACAGCCTGTCAGTTTGCCACCCTCAACCTATTGAGCATATGTTAAGTACGAGATGCATAAATATCGACGTCTTCTCGACTTGCGTGTAACGCCTTTTAATGGTTTAAAGGCTAGAAAATAAATCTTAAAATGAACCAGGATTTTATACATAAGATTTTAGAGGAAGGGTGTGAATCTAAGGAAAAGGGTGTGAATTTAGCAATTTCCTTTATTTAACAACGGATGTAAGCGTCTACATTGTATGAAGGGAGGTAAGCAAGTTAAACATGCTGCTGAGAATTTGTATTTTAGCCGTGCGAATAAAATTTAAATTACACTAATTTAAAAAAGTTCATGTAACCGCAGGCTATCTGTTCAAAATAAGCAGATTAAGTTCGATACTTAATGTACGCGCTATGTTATACGAAAAAATGAATTGTGTGGATGGATGAAAATAGAGTGATAAAATTTCAGTAATAAGTAAATATCAAGCAAAAGATGGATGGGCACATTTTCATACCGCTCAATCCACTTTCTCTACCTAAATTAGGTAACCATAAGAGAATTAAGGTATTATTTGGTGCACAAACTCAAGGTAAATGGGAACTAGTGAAGCAGTAGATGTATGGAGTTGATGATTCGAGCACGATTCACGAATATACAATGCTAATACAATCGGAATGAAAGTAAAATTTATTTAAAAATACTTTTGGCGGTCTAACGATTCAGCGTCGTAATATCAGTGATAATCTTGGGTAACGTAATGACGTGTCGACTACTTCTTGATATTCGCGCCCCTCCCAACACATTTTGATTTTCTTAAGCTCTCTTTGTGGCAAAGTTGGTAGCAAAACATTATCAGTGATTTATTGCAAAATTTATAAATCATTGAAACAAAAACCAAAAAATCAAATTAGTTTGTGTTGTTTTTGCCACAAAAACATGGTTTGGATAAAGAAGTTTTTGTACCTAAGCTTGCTCGACTTCTCACATGAAGGCTTCTGCAGTTGCGCCAATCGTAGCGCTATGGACGTGATCATCAAATTGGTTAAGAACCCATCTACAGGCATGACACAGTCCCGTAATGACTACGCATTGTGTGACACAAATCGGCAATAGCTGAGACCACAGTTGTAACCGCAACTCAATGCGAATATTATTGAGGATTGGTAAAACAACACAAACTTAAAGAGTAACGATAAAAGCAGAGTTGAAGAGCCTGAAAAATAAATGCAAAGACGAGGATAATTTATAGTTTTATTTTGGACCGATCCTGAACAATTCTATTTTATCGCCTTGTAAAAAAAGGTTCAATCTAACTTAACCTAGATCTCAAGAATTAGTGAGTTTTATTCGCGGATGTAGTTAGCACTTACAATGCGAAAGGTTGCTTAAAGCACCTTACCGCCACTTTGTTGGAAACGGCTCTTCCTTTAGTATTCTTGTACCTGCGAGTAGAAATCTCGTTAGTGTACATCATGCCTAATTTTCAGCCCGAAATCTATCAATTGTATTGTAGCTTGAAAGAGGAATTTCGCTTTGCAGCTGAAGTACATATTATTAAGCAATCGCAAATGATGTTGTAATAGATAAAGTTGATTTTTATTTATCAACATTTTTTGCAATAAGATCATGATTTACTTGGTCTGGAGATTTTACGCTGATAGTTCTAGGCGCAATACACTGAACGTATGCAGTGCGTCTGAATAATAGTGGGCAGAAAATTACAACATGCTTGAACATTTCTAGGAATGAGAAGGTGGAAAATACGATAAGGAGGTAATCTCGGAAGCTCGCTCTTAAATATAAGTGATCCTGTTCGGATAACTGATATAAGTTCTAAAACTCAAAATAACAGCAGTCATTGATGAATGGGTATGACGCTGTGAATGTATGCATCGATTCGGTACATTTTACATAAGCTATGCGATCAGAGTTTGCCTTTGAGTGTCCAGCATTTGCTTTTGTGATCAAATTTATTTCTAATTAGTTTTAAGCCAATCACAAGTGATACCATTACAGTAGTGACCTAGCCAAAGAGAGAATTTGGATCTACTTATATCCATGAGGGGGGATAGGCTATATCACACTTAGTTCGTACTGGTACACCTGAATATTTTAATTAAGTTCAGACAAACAAATAAGTGCAATTTAAAAGTTCGGCAATTAATTTGCGTGCAGTAACTGATAACTTCATAGTTTGGGCTTGCAATTATACAGATGTTTATAATTACAACAAAGATGCAGGACTGATAGATATTAATCAGAGCAATTCATTGGAAAACATAAAGGCGGCAAATTAGCATGAACTATAGTGCCTTCCTTGACCATTTCAACTGTGATGTTAGATTGTAGCTCTATCCAACTTATGTCGTGTCGTGAACCGAATAAATTACATGTTGGGCCAAGACCGTAAAGCTAGTTTTATCATTTAGGCAGTAAATGTGGCATCTTATTCGATATTCGAGATCCACAGACTTGTAGCTGTCCCTTAAATCAGCAAAAGTTCGACAAAGTTAAGACAATTACCCTATTTGAAGACAATACGACAACCATCTCCCATGCCGAGTTTAGTGAAATCAACTTACACTAGTTTATTAAATAATACTGATAAAATCCTCAACCTTTTATACCGGATCAATACTTTTGTGTACAATTTTTACGGCATTTTCTGACTTTAACGCGACCGATGATGGAACTCCATGTTGAAATTTGCTCATGCGAATGGTGATAAAGATTCTGTACCAATTAGAAACCATCGATTTTAGCCATAAAATTTACGTGGACAAGTGTTTGATTATACCAAATCATCGTATTATTTTGGATGAAAGTCAAGTGATTTCTTGATATGTGTGCCGGCGTATCGATAAAGCCAGCGTATCATTAAATTAGGTCTGCCAGTAGCAAAGAGATGTACAATAAACATATTATAAACGTGTCCGGGTAATTTTATGAGATTGTAAATTTTAAATTACATAGCAATAATGGATATAGTACGGCACCGTGATAGTTGCAGTCGCTGTTGGGGCCTATCTAAATATTACAATCAATCAATTTGTGATCATGCGGACTTTGTCAAATGTTAAAAAAAAATCCGTAATTTTCTTTTGCTATGAGTAATGATTGCGACGAAGCTCTTATAATGTGACCGATTCCATAAGAACTCTCACTATCGGATACGATCGCGATCCCAAAGTAGGTAATTGTTACGAGGCAGTCTCGATCGCTGGGACCTAAGTGAAGGTCAACAGCTTCAATACAAAGATTGTATAGACGATTTTGAGATTTATCGTCAGAAATTGTAGCCAATATCAGAAATTGAACAGTGTTGGTGGCTGGATTGGCGAATTATGACGTGCGTTGGACCGTGAAAATTTCAATCACATGTTAAAGCGCGCTTAAGCAAAAATCGATCGGCAGAAAGCACTGGAGTTGAGTTTAGCCAGATGAAACGCTTTGTTGTTATCCTCAATGATCAAATCATCACTTGATAAAAATGAATGATATGCAAGTTTTGCTGCAAGCGGCATAGCCCCTTCCATGAAGTCGATTAAATGTGGATCGCATTTTCTTTCGGGAAGCATTCAATATTACGTGTAAAATCTTTCTCTGGCATTCTGTGTAAAGGATTCTAGTCTCATATCGGTTATTAAACCCTTTAGCTGGTTGAGTTCAAAAAGGGGAGCAAGTTGTTGATTAGTGAAGTTGCAGATTCGTCTATAATGATTACACGCATGTGTAGACCCTCTTGCACTTCTGTGTCAAGGCATGCGGATAGTTTAGTCGTTTGAAAAAGGTGTCGCTTCCTGAATTGTGGACCGACCCTCTTGATAGGCAAGGTGGATGTGGCTGTGTACTCCGACCTAGATTTTTGGGTTTTTTTCCTGCTCCATTCAGTACCTTGCACACCGAAACAAGATTGTCAAGTTACCAATGCAGGTTTATAAAAGGAAACGAGTAACTCGGACCTTGATCAGAGCTGATAGATCAGACGTAAAATACTATCGAATAGATAACTCTTCTAATCGGTGGTTTTTTTACGTCTGATCTACCAGCTCTGGTCAAGGCCTGAGGCCCATCGAAGCGATGGAGGATCAAAAGATATCGTGTGGGTAATATATATATTTAAAGCTATTTGGGCCCAGAGGCGATATCCATGGTGAAGTCAAGCTCACTAATCTGGTTTTCAATATCGACCGTCACTCAATCTATTATCATTAAGTAGCTTCAGGCGCCCTTGTTTTGATCCATTCAACACAGATAAAAGGTTTTTAACGTTCAATTTATCAGCTACAACAAATACTCTCAAGATCTAATTGCGATGAGCAAAGAAACTAATATTTGCTACAAAAATGAATTTAGGCTTACTAATGACTAAAAATAATTATTGTTTCTGTAAAATAAGCTCAGTAATTAGAAAAAAATTCTGTAAAAGAGGCTACAAAGCACCCAAATTTCCAGACGTTACATGATAAGGAGATACGTGTTCCCCTAATGTACCCGAACTATGCGTTTTACGTAAAATGCGAGATTTGCAAAAAACTTAGTGTGCTACAGAGTACCGCTCTGCAACAGGAGATCGTTACAGTCATCCATATTTTTGCTTACAAAAGCTGGCTGCATTAGCGGATAGACGTTCTGCTGAAGCCAAGAGGTGCCAATCGATCACATGTCATGGCAGCGACTTTCAGGTCTAGTGAAGGAAATATCAACAGCATCAGATTCTATTGACAAATTCGTTCGGTAAATCAAATTAAAATAAAACAAAACTGACAAGATGAAACTGGATTGATCGTTATCGTGAATAATTTCAG